GGGTGACTGGTAATACACATTTGAAAATAAACTTATTTATTCTTAATGTGTTATTTTCACAACAAATCCAATCCACTGGGCCCACCACCTTGAATGCTGGCATCCCATCTGAGCACTGCTTAGAGTCCTGGCCACTCTACCTCTGATCCAGCTCCTTGTTAAAGGGCCTGGGAAAGCGGTGGAAGATGGCCCAAGTGATCGGACCCTCACACCTGATGAGACCTGGATGCAGTTCTGCAATTCTGGTTTTGGACTGGCCAAGATCGTTGTGACTATTTGGGGAGTATCCAGACTCCAACTACCTCTCACTCCCACTGATACTTTTTTTTTTAAATATTTATTTTGTTTTCATTGGTAAGTCAGACATATAGACAGAAGGAAAGACAGAGAGGAAGATCTTTCATCCGTTGATTCACTCCCCAAGTAGCCACAATGGCCACAGCTGAGCTGATTCGAAGCCAGGAGTTCATTTGAGTCTCCCACACAGGTGCAGGGTCCCAAGGCTTTGGGCTGTCCTTGACTGTTTTCCCACGCCACAGGCAGGGAGCTGGATGGGAAGTGGGGCTGCCAGGATTAGAACCAGTGCCCACTAGGGATCCCAGTGTGTGCAAGGCGAGCACTTTAGCCACTATGCTACTGCTCCAGGCCCTCTACTGATACTACTTATTTTTACTGGAAAGGCAGATTCACAGTAAGGAGAGACAGAGAGGAAGAGTCTCCATCCATTGGTCCACTCCCCAAGTGGAAGCAACAGCCAGAGCTGAGCTGAGCAGAACAGATCCGAAGCTGGGAGCCCACGAGGAGCCTCTTACGGATCTCCCACACTGGTGCAGGGTCCCAAGACTTTGGGCCGTCCTACACTGCCTTCCCAGGCCATAAGCAGGACGCTGGATGGGAAGCAGAGCAGCCAGGACACGATCTAACAACCACATGGGATCCCAGTGCTTGCGAGGTAAGGATTCAGCCAATGAGCAGATTTACACAGAGAACAAAGGCAGGGAGAGGGAGAGTGCGTTCTTCCATCTACTGGTCCGTTCTCCAATCGGCTGCAATGGCTAGAGTTGAGCTGAAATGAAGTCAGGAAACAGGAGGCCGCTTCAGAGTCTCCCATGTGGGTGCAGGGTCCCAAGGACTTGGGGCATCCTCTGCTACTTTCCCAGTGTACAAGCAGGGAGCTGGATCAGAAGCAGAGCAGCCAGGACACAAACTGGCCCTGACATGGCATCCCATGCTGGCAAGCAGAGAATCTGCCTACTGAGTCACTGCACTGTCCTCACCGATCACTCCCTCAGCTGAATTTCTGTCTCGTCTACTTATTTCTGCCATTTTATTAAAGGTCAAGGTAAACTACATCATTCTTCTGCTTAAAACCCACCCTGAGAAAGATATAGCATTCATAAAGCCCTATAACATCTGGGATCTCCTACACTTAGTCCCCTACCCACATCATTCTCACTTGAATTCTTCTTCTTTTTTTTATTTATTTGGAAGTCAAAAAAGAGAGAGAGAAAGATCTTCCATCCGATGATTCACTCCCCAAGTGAGCGCAACAGCCAGTGCTATATCGATCCAAAGCCAGGAGCCAGGAACTTCTTCCAGGTCTCCCACGCAGGTGCAGGGTCCCAAGGCTTTGGGCTGTCCTTGACTGCTTTCCCAGGCCACAAGCAGGGAGCTGGATGGAAAGTGGAGCTGCCAGGATTAGAACCAGCACCCATTTGGGATCTCGGCGTGTTTAAGGCAAGGACTTTAGCTGCTAGGCCACTTGGCTGCCGGGCCCCTCACTTGAATTCTTATTTCTCCTATTCACCCTCTTCAGGTTACCTGGAAAGTGTGTCTCCCCACTGGCCTCAATACTAGCTCTTTCTAGAAGGCCTCTTGCTCTGTCATCATCTCCAGTTTTCTAACCAAACTGCACTAACCAAAGCGTGCTGTTGCCTTACTGCTTCCTATGAGGTAGCACCCACGCCACCTGGCTTACCCTGCAATGCTTTTCTCCGTGGCACTTATCCTTAACAGAATTACCAATGGAAGGTCCTAAAAACTCTGTTACACCTACTGATGTATCCCCAGCTCCTAGAAAAGTGACAGCCAGCCAGGTGGTATGCTCTTCCAACTATTATTGAACAAACGCATTTCCAGCATTGATTTAAACAGTTATGTAAACATTATACAACACTTAAATCTCATTTTAGCCAATCCTGATCTCAATCTAACCTAATAAACGTCAACAAGCAAATTCAACTCAGTGCAAAAGACATGCCATTTCACAAGAATTACAAGGCCACACAAAAGATGAGACGCTGGCATTTGAAGGCATTAACATCCACCAACCAACACCTGCACCAGTAACGTATTTATAGTCTGGTGCGTAGCGTTTAAACCACAAACTTGGCGTTTGTAAAGTGACCAAGGCCAATGCAGATTTACTATACACATTTTTATTACGAAAAACTTCAAACTTATACATGAATAGAGAATAGTAATAGGTATAGTTAAACTACCCACTCCCTAGAAATATTTGAGCTGCTCAATCATCAGCTGGTTTTGCAGTATGAACTTGAAGACATTTTTTTCTTGCAATGTTCCCAAGTATTGTCGACAAGAAAATGAATACTCGCAATCTCTAATGTAACAAGGTGAATCAGACTCTTTCATTATCAAGAACAAGGAAAATCTTGATTCACTGTTTGAAATGGGACCAGTTTTTAGAACAAATTTATTACTTATCATGTGCCAGACTCTGTGTAAAGAACATAGTGAGGGCCCGGCGCGGTGGCGCAAGTGGTTAAGGTCCTCACCTTGCACGCCCGGGATCCCATATGGGCACCAGTTCTAATCCTGGCAGCCCCACTTCCCATCCAGCTCCCTGCCTGTGGCCCAGGAAAGCAGTCGAGGACGGCCCAAAGCTTTGGGACCCTGCATCCATGCGGGAGACATGGAAGAGGCTCCTGGCTTTGGATCGGCATAGCATTGACCATTGCGTTCACTTGGGGAGTGAATCATGGACGGAAGATCTTCCTCTCTGTCTCTCCTCTCTGTATATCCACCTTTCCAATAAAAATAAAATAAATCTTTAAAAAAAAGAAAAGAACATAGAGAAGTCCTAATTTCGAAGGCATGAAAGAAAAAAAGAACATAGTAAAGCCCTAATTTCAAAGGCATGAAAGCAAGCATCTTACACGAAATGTAAAAATACTGCTGGAAAATTGTCTCTAGTCCTGTTTAATTAAGCGTAGTCAGACTGGAAAAACAAAGGGTTTAGGTTTGAGACGCAGAAGCAAATAAGCTGGGTTAAGAGCAAATTTTAGAATAAAAGGACTACTCTGGAGGAAAAGACTCTTGGATGGGATGTTCTATCAGAGCAACAAGACCAAATTAGCCCTAAGTGTCACAGCTCACAGCTCACAGCTCACAGTGGAGAGCAGAATTCAAAGATAAAGAAAAAAAGTTACATGATCTCTAGTTGTTCCCTGGCTTCAAAATGGAAGCCCTAACTTCAGAGTTCTGAACAAGCAGGTAAAGCACCTGACACAGGGCCTGGCCTGTAACAAGCAGTCAGTAACTACCTGTGAAGTGACCTGCATTATTTCTCCTGCAACGGACTGCTCACCTATTCTCAGGCTACTAGGCAGCTGCTTTCATGGACGGGCCTGAGCCAGGGGAAGCCGTCTTCATTATCTAATAGCCCCAAACCAATGTACTAAAAAGGTCAAGTTCCTACATAGTTCTGACAGTATCTGAAATTTAAAATGTCAAAGTAACAAAAGATTATTTTAAAAAAAAAGTGCTTAGCCCAATAAGCTATTGACTCTTTTCTAGCTAAGTGGAAAGTGGAAAAATTTTTTTAAACACAAGCGACTAATACTTTTTTTAGAATAGCCCTCTACAGTCTACAAAACCAAAGGTCATGTTTTGATGCATCCCACTTAAATATAAATGCTTTGGAAAACTTTACCATCTAGGGAGCTCAAAACAGGTCAAATTACATTTATAAGGCACAGTTTTCAAACTGCCAGCTGGTCAAGAGCTCACCGAAAAGTAACTATTATGATACACTCTGCTTCTCTATTGTAACCATTGCACCATAGGTATTCTGTGACATCTTGCTGTAGACTTGATGTACACAGTAAAACGTATTTTCAACAATAAGAACCGTCACTTGAGTGTTTCCGTGTGTGTGTGTGTGTGTGTGTGTGTATGTAAGAGAAATGAAACAAAGGCAGCCTCCCTCACCCAACAGTGCTTTGAAAAACAAAGAGTGCAGTGGAGGAAGCTGCGCGACAAAGAAGATAGCCCTAACTCAGTAACTGTTGCTTTATCTGCCACATGTCAATGCCAGGAGGAACAAGCGATGGTTCAGAGTCGTGGCTAGTTCAGTCAGTCCCTTGCCAGACAGACACCTCTGGGTGGGAGTTCCACATTTTAAAAAGCAGTCTCAAAATATTCGGGGGGCTGGGGGAGGGGGGTCCGGTTACGCTTTTTGGTTGCAGTTACTACAGAAGAAATCCAAGGAAAGTCTCAAGAAAGAGATTTGGCTGTTGTCCAGTTGGCAACTGCCAGAATATAAAGTTTACTTCACTAAAAAGGAATCCTATCCACGAGAACATGAAAGGAAGAGTAGCAGGCGGAGAACAAAGTAACATTAGACAAGGCTTCTAAAGATTAGACAGTTTTCAATCATCGGAAAGAGAACACGGGACGAGAGGGAGTTTTGCCGAGGTCGAGGAGGGGTTTGAATGGACAAGTGTCTCCTCCAGGTCTAAGACCGCCTGGCGGTGAGCGGCGAGCGGGGCTCCCTCGCAGGCTGGCCCCTCGCCCTGCACGCCCAGCTCGCACAGCCGGGTCTCCGCCCTGAGCATCCTCCAGGTGTGTGCCCAGCAGAGGCGAAGCACGACCTCGCGGCGGCCACGGAGAACAATAGGCGGGGCGGCGGCGCGGGGCCGAGGCCTCCCTCCGGGACGACCACCATCCCGCCTCCCTCATCGCTGCCCCAGACTCACAGAGTCTTGGGCATCTCGTCCTCCATGGCTGCTGCGGTCGCGGCGGCGCCTCCGGGTCCAGCTCCCTGCCCTTTACTACCTCCCAAAGCCTCTGAGCAGCTATGGCTGCGGAATAGCGGGGCTTCTTCGTGACTTGGAGGTTACTCCGCCTCCTTCCTTGGCGGCAATGACACTCCACCGCCTGGCCCAGGGCGAACAATGAAGCCCCGATGCAAGATGGCGGGCAGCCGGGAGCCCGGGGCCGCCGGCGGAGTGACCCCGATCGCGCAGGCGCAGAGCCACTTTGCACTTTCAACCTCCCGCAACAAGCCTGGCCTTCCATTCATAGGTTCACTTGTTGCGCAGCCGCTCTTTATCTGGAGCCAGGGACGCCTCGGACCGCGCACGCAGGGCAAAGGATGAACTCCCTCAAGAGCTTGCCTTACCTTTGTTGTCTTCCATCTGGATCCGCAGGCTTTAACAGTGAATGATAATGAAATACAGACTTGCAGAGAAATTGCATATTCGCGGATTTTCATAAGGAGAAAGTTAGTTAAGACTATTTGTTGGATTCGATTTGACCGAAAGCAAAAAGCACGTGCGCCGCCCGGGAATCGAACCCGGGTCGCAAGAATGGGAATCTTGCATGATACCACTACACCAGCGGCGCTGTTGAAAGCAAGCTGCAGCAGAAACTCTTATGAGGAAACGAAAGCTGAAGGGGCTTGCGCGGTGAGAGTGAATTTTCCATTATTCGTACAGAAACAGTCTATAACCTAATCCTATTCATTAATGTAAGAAACTATCAATGTTTTAAACCCCAATACAGACAAATGAATGATTTTACTTTTTTCAGCGCAAAAAGGGCTCAGTTACAATTTTTTTTTTTTACTTAAAAAAATTACATAAATTTTGTTAAGTTGTGTTTGCCTCTTCAGGGCCAACCAAATTTTTGAGAGCAGGCAAAACATTTCCAGATAAAGGATATTTCTTTATATATGCATTTTTTTGTATACTTAATGTACCTTGAAAAACATTTAATGAGCAGCTCTTGAAGGCACACTGGTCACAACAATCTTAAAAGTAAATTAAAATACATAAACTCCAGTGCTCTTTTAGGAACTGGAGAAATTAGGGCTCTGAAATGTGATTTGGTGTACTCATTCTACATTTCACATTGCATTTACAAGTGCAGACTCTGTTCTATTTAAAGCAAAGGAGAATGTACAATCCAGAAGCATATCCTATGAGATTATCCCACACACACTTTTTTGGGGATTCTCTTTAGTTCCTGGCATATTTTTCAGATTATATTCAGACATAAAATATTAATGTACTGAACATGCATAAGATAAGTGACAAGTATTTTGAACACCTTTTTGTGTGTGTGTATGCGAGACTTTGTGGATTATTTTAAATTTTGTTTGGACTGCAGTTTTTTTTTAACCACGAAAATCTGTGTGATCCCCAAAGCTGTGCAGTCACATAGATAATTCTGTTTTAACACCTTTTTTAGAGATATCCATTTACATATTGAGTTCGCAGTTTGGTCACCTAGGCATTTATCAAACCCAAGGTCGTGGGACCCTGTACCTGCCTGGGAGACCTGGAGGAAGCTCCTGGCTCCTGGCTTTGGATCGGAGCAGCACCGGCCCTTGCAGCTGCTTGGTAAGTGAATCATCCCCTCTTGGGGAGTGAATCATGGGATGGAAGATCTTCCTCTCTGTCTCTGTTCCTCTCTGTATATCTGACTTTGCAATGAAAATAAAGAAAAAGAAAAAAAGAAATTGCCAAATTTAAGTTACTTCATTAAATGATATAAATATATATAATCTTTGTAGATAAATATCTCCACTAACAATATTTCAAAGCTAGTTCTTGAGACCTCTCCTACTGTACCCCACTTTTGTCTGCACTGAGATATTATGTTTTATTATTTGTTGCCAATATGAGAAGTGAAAAATAGTGTGTCCTTGTTTTGGTTGCATTTACCTAAACTGCTACTGGGATGAAGCTCTCTCTCTTTCTCACTCCATATATGTATAGATATTTATATATTTCTCTTTCTCATATATATAAGCGTGTATATGCATGAAAATATATATGTATGTTTATGTACATGTAACTTTTTAAACCATTGCCAATTCCTCTTTCTTTAGTAAATTGCCTATTTATGTATCTGTTTTGAATTGTGTACCTCTTCTCACCAATTTGTAAAACTCTTAGTATGTTTGTATAGTGCTGCTTTTCTAACTGCAAGCAATTTTCTCATACAATTATTTTTTATCATTTTTTTAAATTCTATTCTTTGCCACCAAAAGATGTTTAGACTTTTTTTTTTTCAATAAACAGTTCGCTTGCTGCAGTTTGAACCTTGTGAAAATTACTTGTAAGTTTCTGAATCTTTCTTAATAGAAATATTTAGAATTTAGGAATTCATAGAATTGATATCAGGAGAAATAAATGTTGCCTATAATTCATACCCTAGAGCTGTTACATTTTATGTATTTCCTTCCTTTTAAAAAAAAATTCTTTTTTCTTTATTTCTTTGAAAAGCAGAGTGACAGAAAGATAATAGAGACTATCTCATACCAGTTCATTCCCCAAATCACTGCAACACATTAGGCTGTGAAGACCAAAGCCAGGAGTCTGGAACTCCATTCAGATCTCCCATGTGGGTGGCAGGGACCCAAGTGCTTGGAGCATCTTCTGTTGCTTTCCCAGGAGCATTAGCAGGGCGCGGGAGTGTAGTTTGGCGGCTGGAAGACGTCCCCCCCCATTCCTCCCTCAACCTGCCCCCTCACACACTCCCTCCCTAGACAGGATAAAAGGGAAAAAAAGAAAAATAGGAAGTATTTCTCCCACCCACTTTCCCATAATATTTTCACCCACCCCACCTAAATCAGTGGTCCTCATGGATGTGCATCCTTGTCAACTATGTAAGCAACATAAAAAAATGAAATTAAAAAAAAGAAGAAAGCGAAAGAACTGGGGCTAGAACTGGTGCTCTGAAATGGGAAACCACTTCAGAAGCCATAGTTTGACCTCACTGTGCCACAACTCCGGTGCCTTTATAGTTTCCTTCTTTTATTCAATTTAGGTATACATATACCTTATCTGCTTTGCTCCCCGTGAGATGCTTTACAGATATCTTAACACTTTGTTTTATTTCACATTATGCTACATAGTGAATATTTTCAAACATAGTTAAGATTCTTCAGAACTGCATGTAACCTCAGGTATTTAACTAATTCTCAAATTCCAAAATAATTATGTTGCTGCCTGTGTTCCGCCAGTGTCCAATGCAGCACAATTTTCTTGGGCTAAAAGTGAGCCAAGGGCCTGGAGCAACGGCTCAGTGGGTAAATCCTTCCCTGCCAAGCAGTTCATGTCCAGATGTTCCACGTCCCATTTGGCTCCCTGCTTGAGGCCAGAGAGGGCAGTGGTAAATGGCCCACGTCCTTTGGCCTCCTCAACCACGTGGGAGACCTGGAAAGAAACTCCTGGCTTCGGATAGGCTCAGCTATTTCCATTGTGGAGTAAGCCAGCAGATGGAAGATCTTTCTGTCTCCCCTTTTCTCTGTAAATCTGCCTTTCCATTTAAAAAAAAAATAATAAAACATTTAAAAAGTAAGTCAAAACTGCTCTGTAAATTTTTTTCCATGGCCACAGAAAATATTTGGATTTTATGTAGTCAGTTTTGTTTAGCTTTTCTTATATTGCTTGCAAATTTCCTGTCTTGTCCATGATAGAGGAAATATTGTTTAGACCATCAAGAACACGAAAGAAATGAGATGTGAAGAAGGCGTGAGAATACTTTACTTCAAGTCAGCTTCAAAGAAGAAGCAAAATATTTGGAACAGTGGCAGAATTTGGGAGCTGATTGTTGTCTAAAATAAACAAGACAGGATACAGTAAAATGGTAATGATACAAAACAACCCCCAAAACTGGTTGGAGGGGTTGCTATAGAATCCCCAGAACTGGATTCACTGGCCCAACGACCAACGTGCAGAAAGCCAATTACTGGCGCCTGGAGGTGAAAGAAAGTGGGAACTGATTGTCAGGCACAGGACAGGGAGCCAGGAGCCAGGCAGCCATGGGTAGGCTTCCCTGAGGAATTGGGAGTAAAGTCTCCTACAGAGGAAGTTGGGGGCTGAGAAGTGCACGTTCCTAAATCAGAAAGGAAGAAGGAGCAAGGGGTGGATTAGCACTATCTTCTTAAAACAGAATGTGTGAAATACATGAAAGTAGTTTCTCTTATATAAATAAAAAATTAAGAAAAAAGGAAAATGTTCTGAAATGCTTTGTCACACAGGGAAGTAGAACCTTCTCTCTCTGTTTAAGATTTATTTATTTTAATCAGAAAATCAGATTTACAGAGACAAAGATCTTCTATCTCCAAATAGCCCCGTAGGTGCCTTCATGGTGTTTTTTTTTTTTTTAAGATTGATTTATTTTTATTACAAAGTCAGATATATAGAGAGGAGGAGAGACAGAGAGGAAGACCCTCCGTCCAATGATTCACTCCCCAAGCAGCTGCAACGGCCAGTGCAATATCGATCCAAAGCCAGGAGCCAGGAACTTCTTCCAGGTCTCCCACACAGGTGCAAGATCCCAAAGCTTTGGGCCATCCTGGACTGCTTTCCCAGGCCACAAGCAGGGAGCTGGATGGGAAGTGGAACAGTCAGGAGTAAAACCGGTGCCAATATGGGATCCTGGGGCATTCAAGGAGAGCACTTTAGCTGCTAGGCCATTACGCTGGGCCCCATGGTTTCTTTTTAATGTGTTTATTTTTTAGATGTAAATGACTAATTATGGATAAATAGTGTCTTGTCAGTCAAAGAAATATCTACATATCCATATTCAAAATGTTAGCATTTAATAAAATATATACATAACATTTTAAAAGAAAAAAAAATTGCAAGATCCTGGCTGGTCTGTTGTGTCCATGGTCACCCTATGGTCAGCGACAGAGGGTCCTTTAGGGGATTTTGAGGATGACAAGATGGGCTCCTGTCCATTTGGAGATTACTTGCAGGTGTTATTATTTTTTTTTCCTTTGGGCCTGGAAGTTCCTGGAAAAGAAACTTCTAGATACAGGACCAACTATTAAAATGCTATCTATTCAAGATCCAAATGACCTCCTGAGCCCAGTGACTTAGGACCTTGTAGGTGTGGCTCCACCGCGCCCTGCACTCCCTCTACTTAGTGAGTTAATTTTTAAAAAATCATTGATTCGGGCCCTGCGTGGTG